GGCGACTTACTTTAATGGGCGACTTACTATACATATACGTTATATAATAATAGATATTAACTTTACTTAACGTCTTTATTTACTATATATTAACTATTTACTAAAAACATTTAATAGATTTATTAGCTAAATAAAAGGAGTTTTAGCCTTAGGTATAATAATATTTACTTTAAAGTTAAGTAGTTATATATAGAAGATTTATATTTATATAGTTAAGGGCCTAAACTAAAATATCTTTCTAAGTAACCTCTAGTTTAAAGTAAATTATATTATTCATAACTTAATAAAATAATAATTATTTTATAAAAAAAAGAAAATAATTATTTATATAGCTAAAGAAAAAAACCCTAAGAGGGTTAAAGAAATTTAGTTTAAAACATTCCTAGAGGCTATTAAGTTTAAAGTAATTTATTAGTAAATAGCTTAGGGACACTAAGTAATTAAATATGTCTAAGCTATTAGTATTAATAATATTAACTAAGTACTTTAACCTAAAAAAAAAATAAACCTTATTAACTAGGTCTTTAAGGATATTTTAAAGGAATTTAAAGTACTCTTTAACCCTTAAAAAGTATACCTATTATTACCCTATTAGCTAAGCATAGACTATAAAATCCCTATTAAATAAGAACCAGATAATCATAAATTACTATTACTTTAAGGGCTATTATATAACATGTTATAAAAAGAGCTCTTAGTACTTAAAAAGACGCTTTAAGACCTTCTAGATAAAAGGTTTATTAAAGTAAATAGCTCTTTTACTTTAATACTAGTCTTATTTATATAGAAACTAAATAAAGAATAATAGTTTTATATAGACTACTAGGCCTTAAATACTTTTATAAAAAAGAATCACTACCGTCTTCCTTTAATCTTAAAGACTTTTTACTAAGTTAATACTACTAAATAATATACTAAACTTAATATAATAGTTACTTTTTATAAGCTATAAATAAATAAATAAAATAAACCTAAAATAATATTCTAAACTTAATATAAATTATTTAAGTAGCTAGTCTACTTTTTTAGTTTTATAAGTATACTTATAACCTTCTAATACTATATTAATAACATTTTATAAGAGTTTTTTAATAATTCTATTACTAATTATATTTATAATATCTTAATATATACTAATAGCTTAAAAAAACATAAAAAAAAGGTTTATTATATACTTATTATTTTTTTAGTAGTAAGTCTAAACTTTAAATCTATTAAATATAAGTTCTTAATTAAAACTATTAAGTATATTAGCTTCATAGTTACTACTAGATAAAAATTTTTATATAACCTTAAAAAGTTAAAAGCTATTATAAAATAATAGGCCTTAAAGACTATAAAAAAGGTAAAGAGTTTCCTAGGATTTATTAACTACTACTAAGTATTTATACTAAACTTTACTAAGATTATTTACTTACTTACTAAACTTATAAAAAAGACTACTATATTTTATTAAAAAAAACTATAAAAAAAGCTTTTTAATAACTAAAGTTAATATTTAATAAAGCCTTAATACTATAATAATTTAATTCTAAAAAAAAACTTTTATTAAGGTTAATTACTTTAAGTATACCTTAAGAGGTATACTAACCTAAAAAGATTTATCTAAAAAACACTAAGCTATTACCTACTACTTATAAAAGTTAACTTTTACTAGATATAATTACTTTATTTATAATAAGGAGTTCTTAGCTATACTTAGTAATTTATATACTTAAAAGGCTAAACTATAAAGTATAAGCTTATTTAAGGTCTTAATAAACTATAAAAGCTTAAAGTATTTTATAAAAAAGTAAAATTAATAGAATAATAAAGTAAATAACGTACCTGTATAACGAGTCAGTTAACATAGCAAGTCGGCCACTCCCTTATTATACCTTAAAGGGCACTTTTTTAACTATTTTTTAAAAATCTAATTCTTATCTAAAATCGATATAGCTTTATAAAGAGGTTTTAATTAAGGTTAAAAGCTAATTAAAAATCCACTAGAAATTATTGTTTTACTATAACCCTTAGAAACCTTATTGTTTACTTTGATAAGGAAGGTTAAGTAGAACTAAGGGTTAGGGTAAGATAGGAATTTCTGATAGATTTTTTATTAGCTTTTAACTCTTATTAAAACCTCTTTATAAAGCTATATCTATTTTAGATAAGAATTAGATTTTTAAAAAATAGTTAAAAAAGTACCCTTTAAGGTATAATAAGGAAGTAGCCGACTCGCTATGTTAGCTAACTTACTATACAGGTACATTAAGCTAAAGAACTTATTTAGTATAAATTCTATTTAAAATATTAACTTAAGCAAAAAGCTATAGTCCTAGATATATTATTCTACTAAGAATAAGATATACTAAAAGAATAAGAGAATAAGAAAAAGCTAAGTTAAGTAGTTTAAGTTATTTTAACTTTTACCCTTAGAAGTAATAAAAGCATAATAAATAAGCCCTAAGTAGCTTAGGCTACTAGGACCTTTTATTATATATAGTTATCTTTAAAGAATACTCTAAGCTCTAAGAGCTCTAGAACAAGACGTTAATATAAGATAATACCTATTTATAAGCTTTTTAAGTTATTACTTACTAAAAAAAAGCTTTTTCTTTTTTACTAGGTCTAAAGGTATAAATTAAAGAATACTTTATAAACACTATAAATTAACTCTTATTTTATAATATATATAGGTACTAAGTAAATAAGACCTTAGTAATAAGATAAATATACTTTATATAAAAATAATTTAATAATCTTATAACTCTTTTACTATAAACTATCTTAGCTATAATAATACTTTTAATATTATTAGCTAATAGTTCTTTTAGCTTAATCTATTATAATCTATTAAATGTTTTATATAAAACTATAATATTTATAAAAAAGGGTATATATAATAATAATTTAAAAAAAGGTTCTTAAAACTATTACTAATTCCCTAGTAATTATAAACTAACTTATTTATAGACTTTATTACTAATCTATTACTAAATAACCTTTAAAAAGTATACTACTTATAAGTAATTATAAATAAACTTAATAAGTCTATTACCCTTAAAGAAATAAAATCTATAAAAGTAAAAGCCTATATAAAACGCTTCTTATAGTACTATATAAGGTTTTATAGTATTTTTTATTTTATTATTAACAATAAAAGAAATAACTAAACTAGCTACTTTTAAATAACGTTTTATTAGCTATTAAGTATTAAATATTACTTAAATACTACTTATTACTTTTAAATAAATAATAAAACTAAAAGATTTAACTAAAATATTTAAGCTTTTTTTAAGTTTATATTTATTATTTATAAAAAGATTAAAGAAAATAGTTATTTATTATATAGTTAGCCTTAAATAACTAATTTAACTTAATCATTAAAGTCTTTTTATTTTTCTTAAAGTATAAATAAAATATAAATCTTATATTAGTTAAAAAAATAAAGTACTAGTAACTAATAACTAAGAAGTTATTATAAAAGATTTAATATAAAGGCTTAAAGATATTATAAACTTTATATAAACTATTATAACTATTATACAATTAAAATAAAGTTTTTTAATAAACTAATAATAAATAACTATTAAGAGATTTAAAGTTAAAGACTATATTTAACTTTTTATAGTTAATTACTATTTATTAAAACTATTTAAAAAACTAAATTAGTTATATTAAAAGTATACTAGTTATAACTAAAGTAGTCTTTTTACTATAGTAAAATTAAATATCTTAAATAGAATTTACTTAAGGTTTTATATAAATATCTTTTATTAAATAACTAATAATCTATTACTAAAATAAAATTAAAATAATATTTAACTAATACTTATATTAAATAATACTAAAAGTATAAAATAAGCTATTAAAAAAGCTTTAATAGCTTATTAATAATAAATAAATAAAAAATATTATAAGGAGATATTAGTTAAGTAAATAAGCTATATATAATCTACTTAAAAGCTAATTAATATAATATAAGACATAAAAGCCCTAAACGCCTTTAAGGCTTATTAAAAAAGTATTTTTATATTTAATAAAGACTTTAACTCCTAGTAAAAAATATAGTAAAAGTATATTAAGGAAGAAGAAGGTATTATAACAGGCTAAGCCCTGAACGTGGCTAGGCTTTGCCTTAGCTGAACGTCTAGCGACCTCCCAGCAATCACCTTAGCATTCTACCCAGCGTAACCGCCCAATAGCTTAACTATCTATATAGTACCCTACTCAATAATTCTCTTCCTTTTCCTTCCCCTCCTTGGCTTTAGATAAACTTAATTAAGCTACCTATCTATTAAACCAAACTCTAGGCCTAGCCCTTCACAGTAACTAACTTATTATATTAGCCGACTTACTATACAGGTACGTTATTACTATATAATTATTAAATATTTATTAGTATAAAGTTATACTTATTTTAGATAAGAATCTGGTTTTTTAAAAATAGGTAGAAAAGTATCTCTTAACGTATAACAAGTAAGTAGGTATCTTATTATAATAGGTAACTTGTTATATATATACGTTAAAACTATAATATAAATATAATTATCCTTAATTAATTTACTTACTATAATAAAAAATCATATAATTACTATAACGTAGGTAAATTAAACCCTTTTATAGTAGTAGGCTTTTTAATATACCTGTTTTTATACACCGGGTGCTACAGTACGTTTATTAGCTACATACCTACTGAAGTACCCTAAGCGACTGGTCTCCACTTGAGCTGGTTTCTGCCACATTCCACCCAGTCAAGCCACACTTCCAGGTTGGAGCCTCTATCCCTTGTCAACCACCTGCATCGGAACGTGGCCACTCGAAGCTATCTACAATCGTGTCCTGAGCTGACCATATCCACGATTACTGTCCATCCATCCACTTTTCCGAGTAGCCACAGACGGAAACTTCAACGAATACAATCTGCACCTGCTCTCGATACCCCCGACCAGCCTCATACGAACGCCGTTACTTGTGCATCGCGTCGTTGTCGATTATAGAACTACAGTCGAATAACGATGGACTACGAAGCTCTTAAAGAGCAGTGGAGTGAGGTAGAGGACCGCGATGGCGTCCGTCTCAGCTGGAACGTTTTCCCCAGCTCCCGCATGGTATGTCGCAATGATTCGTCTATTTGACTTGCTTGCATTTATTAAAAGATGAGCTCGTAGGAAGCGTCACGGCTTGTTGTCCCAATCGGTGCTCTTTACACTCCCTTGAAGGAGAAACCCGACACACCTCTTCTCCAATTCGAGCCCGTCACCTGCAAGCAGCCCTGCCGCTCTGTTCTCAACCCCTTCTGGTGAAGAAGCATATCCCCTTTACCATGCAGAGCTATGCTAACCTCGATTCATGCAGCTCGGTGGACGTGCGAGCTCGTCTCTGGATTTGCCCATTCTGCCTCTCAAGGAACCCGCTTCCACCTCATTACAAAGACATTACTGCCAACGCCATTCCTCCCGAGCTGCATCCCTCCAACACTACGATCGAATACCGTCTCTCACGCCCAGCACCAAGCCCTCCCATTTTCCTCTATGTCGTGGATACCTGCCAAGAGGAGGACAGCTTGGCTGCGCTGAAGGAGTCACTGGTTATGAGCCTGAGTCTCCTCCCCGAGAATGCGCTTGTCGGATTGATCACATACGGTACAATGGTATTTGAAATTGCTTACGCCGCCAAGCTGAGATGCCAACCGCTGACCCGGACAGGCCCAAGTCCACGAGATCGGCTACACCGAATGCGCCAAGTCATATGTCTTTCGCGGCAGCAAGGATTATTCTGCGAAGCAGGTTCAAGAAATGCTGGGTTTGCTGTCCCCATCGATGCGCCCAGGCATGCCCCAGCAGCAGCCCGGCAGACCGATGCCTGCTGGCCCTGCGTCACGATTCTTGCTGCCCGTCCAGCAGGCCGAGTTTCAACTGACGAAGGCGCTGGAACAACTCCAGAAGGACCCCTGGCCCGTTGCCAACGACCGCAGGAGTCTGCGATGCTCTGGCGTCGCTCTCAGTGTTGCCGTGGGACTACTCGAATCCTCTTTCCAGCACGCTGGTGGTCGCATCATGCTGTTTGCTGGTGGCCCTGCGACTGAGGGACCCGGCATGGTCGTTGGCCCTGAGCTGAGAGAACCCATTCGATCGCATCACGACATTGACCGTGACAACATCAAGTACTACAAGAAGGCCCTCAAGGTATGTCTGTGTGCATATATATCCCCGCAATGTTAGTCTAACGCAGTCCTAGTTCTATGACAATCTTGCCAAGAGAACTGCGCACAATGGTCATATCATTGATATATTTGCGGGTTGTCTCGATCAAGTTGGTCTCCTGGAGATGAAGGGGCTTTGCAACTCAACTGGCGGTCATATGATTCTGACGGATAGCTTCACCTCATCTATGTTCAGGCAATCCTTCATCCGCGTGTTCGAAAAGGACGGCGATGACAACTTGCTTATGGGATTCAATGCCACCCTCGAGGTGTTGACCACCAAGGAACTCAAGGTCACTGGTCTGATTGGCCATGCCATTTCACTCAACAAAAAGTCCACGTCAGTGGGTGAAACGGAGTGTGGAATCGGCAACACATGCTCTTGGAAGATGTGCGGTATTGACCCCAACGCCAGCTACGGCGTCTACTTCGAGATTGCGAGCCAAGGAGGTCCTACGCAGCATCAGCAAACGCCTCAGAAGGGCATGATTCAGTTCCTTACATACTACCAGCATTCCTCTGGTCAGTTCCACTTGAGGGTAACAACGATTGCCAGAAATCTCAGTGGCCCAGCTGGCGACCCGGCGATCGCACAGTCCTTTGACCAGGAAGCTGCCGCTGTACTCATGTCCCGCATCGCTGTCTTCAAGGCCGAGGTGGATGACGGACCAGATGTTCTTCGGTGGGTTGACAGGATGCTTATCAGACTCTGCTCCCGGTTCGCAGACTACCGTAAGGATGATCCGTCATCTTTCCGCCTGGAGAAGAACTTCACATTGTACCCCCAATTCATGTTCCACCTGAGACGAAGCCAGTTCCTTCAGGTCTTCAACAACTCACCCGACGAGACGGCCTTCTACCGTCATGTCCTCAACCACGAGGATGTGAGCAACTCGCTTATCATGATCCAGCCCACACTAGATTCGTACACCTTCGACCAAGATGGTGGGCAACCCGTTCTCCTGGACTCGACTTCGATTCAACCCACCCATATCCTTCTTCTCGACACTTTCTTCCATATTCTTATTTTCCATGGAGAGACCGTGGCGGAATGGAGAAAAGCGGGCTATCAGGACCAGGAGGGCTATGAGAATTTTGCCTCTTTGCTTGAGCAGCCCAAGGAAGATGCCAGAGTATGTTCTGTCCTGAATGGTAAATGTGTAGATGTGTCGAATCGGCTAACACGATGCAGGACCTCATCACCGACAGATTCCCGCTCCCACGATTCATTGTTTGTGATGCGGGTGGATCACAAGCTAGATTCCTTCTCTCAAAACTTAATCCCTCGACAACGCACACCACTGGTGCCTATGGCGGGGTGGGTGCGCAGAATGCGCAAACCATCTTCACCGATGATGTCTCCCTGCAGACCTTCATGGACCATCTCATGAAGTATGACCAGTTGGCTTCCTAACTTTGCTGGGATTGATTGGCTAACGATTACTTTTCAGACTCGCCGTAAGTGGCACCAACTAACCAGATGACTTGGGTTCATGTCAAGTGCGAGGCGAATTAAGGGCGATGGGGTTAGGAAACAGCAAGGACCGACCAGGTCCTTGTGGCACTAATCAAAGTGCCACAGAGACTTGCTTGGTTGTGTCTGGATGCAGCTCATCGGCTTTGGCTTATGGGTGTTGTAGCCAAAGCCTGCATCATACTGCGGAGGGGGAATTTGCATCGCAGATTTTGGAGTCGGCCCGTTGCTTGCGGACCATTTTTGGACTCTTCTCCGACGGCAGCTTTTTATAGATGCTAGGTAGTCGATGTAATGAGACGGAACAATCATATGAGTTACTACAGGTGGCCAAACTGAAATGATATGTAAGAGGTTGCGATTGAATGCCTGAGTACAGGGAGTTTGATGATGAGATGAGATATCACCTGCCTGCCTCCACTAGCAGCTGGGCTTAGATTTCTAGTGATGGCGGTGAGTCGATGTATGTGAGGTACTTGCACATGCCGGGCGGGACTCAGTGGGGGGGGACTTAGGCTTACTGTGGAATCCCAATCAAATATTTTACATACTGTGCTATCTACACCTTGCTAACACTTACCTACCCCGCCCCCACTAAGCCAACGGTCTGCATAGGTACCTCTTTGCCTTTGTCTCTCGAAGGGTGGCTGGGACGTCAAGAACAGGTACCGTAGCTACTCATCAGATCCGACTTTGACTACTGCTCGCTTCAGCCTAAGGTAGCCTAGTGGCCGACTAATAGGGGATAGTGTGACGGCAGAATCAGGGGTCAGATACTGCCAAAGTCAGGGGTTAGTCAAGGCCGTCAGCTGGCAGAAAGGGGGGTAGGTGCTGACAAATTAACCTTGTTGGTGGCATTGACGTATATACCTAGAGGTCCCACGGCCGCATGGGCCTCGTCAAGTCAACAGGCGCCAATGGGTTATTTCCAATGGGCTGCTGGACGTCCTCTGCTGTAGATATGTACTCTGTATTGTCCCCATCAGCATCCTCGAGGATCTCTGGGTCATCGGCTAATTCCTCTTTGATGCGCTTATCGAGGTCAAAGGTATCCCATCCATCCCACAGAACCGTCTCGATAGGTATATCCTTCACCCGTATCTTCGAGATATCGCTGCCATCTGGCCAGCCAGAAATACCGCACTGGAGAAAGGATTGCCGGACCATCTCTGCCTTCTCGGCAGAGGCCAGGCGGCGGGCAGCTGTTGCCACAGTATGGGTGACCATAATACGCTTTGCTGACGTTGACCATATAAGTGGCTGGCTGCTGCTGCTGGCCTGGGTAGACTGCTCTAATTGGTAGACGTAGTCGTCGGTTGCTTCTGATAGCCACTGCTTAAAGGGCTTGTTGATAGCAGTATCGAGAGGTTGAAGAAGGGAGGTTGTGCTGGCTGGTATAAGGCTAGGTGTGATATAGTTGTAGCGAAGTTGGCTGAGGATAGTAGGGGTCTTGTGGAAGGTAGCAACGTCCATAACTGTGAGATATTCTTGCCCTACTGTAAGAGGGAAGAATTCGTTAGTTAGCCACTTCTCTAATAGATACTCGTTATTATACGCAGTATCGTTATACTTAACTGTTATCTCGTTGCTGTAAAAGGCACTCTCTTTAGCCTCGATTTGGCCGTTTTGGTTAGTAGGCTTGCCGTGAAAGATGAGCTTGGGCAGCAGCCGTTAGACTCCGTCAACAAAGATGTAGAGGATAAGTGTAGCTTGCCGCTTACTCCAGCTACTACGGTCACTCTTGCCAGCCACTATACGGCTGCCTTTGTCGGCCCACGTTGACCCATCGAGATACTCGAAGGGTATAGGGGTCTCGTCAAAGTTAAGGATACAGTCAAATAGAAATCAGAGGCCACCAACTGGCTGCCAGGCCAAAGCCGGCTAGCTAACACGTCGGTTAAAGTAGAGGAAGTTGGTAACGATACGTAGATAGTCAACTAGCAACTTGGTGGCCTGCTTTGTAAGCCGGCGATAGGAAATATTCCAGCGGCAGCGAAAAAGAGCAAACCAGCCCACAGAGAATCAGAAGGTAGTAGCTGGGCTAGAGACGGCAAGAGGGTTATTGTTGTTGTTGTTGTTGTTGTTATCGTGGGCCTTGCGAAAAAGGGCCTTTGATGTACGCCTAAACCAGCTAGTTGTGACAATAGTAGACTTATCGCGAAGTTACCGAAATAGGTCATAGAGATCAGCCTCTAATTCTGGCCAATCAGGCCTGCCTTTTTGAGCTGTTGAGTTGACGATAGTCTCTCGTTGCTTATACCAATCGATGATAGTAGTACAAGGGATCTTGAAGTGGGCAGCAGCCTCGCTGTAAGTCGGGCGGCGGAGGCCGTTAGCAGGGTCAAGACGAGTATCGCCAGCCCGTTGGCGGGTGGCCGGCCTGGCCTCAATAGGATAACGCTCGTGCTCAAGAAACATCACAACTGCCACTTTTTTCCGCTGATTGTACGATTGCTCGGGTCGTTTGATTGGCAGAGCAGCAGTGTATTTTCGCTGAGTAATCGGCTTAGGCTTCTTGCCGCGAGGCTTTTTCGCTGGCAACGTATGGGTATTTGGGCTGATATCGCCAAGTGGCTGGCGGGCAGGCATCTCGAATAACGGTGGGTTGGCGATAGTTGTGTAGAGTGGCAGCTGGCCGGCTGGCTGGCTGACCGGCTGCTGGCTGCTGGCAGCTTTGTTGACCGCCTTCGATAATAAGCCTAGCACGAAAGTGGCCACTAGGCTGCCTTAGGCTAAAGCGAGCAGTAGTCAAAGTCGGATCTGATGAGTAGCTACGGTACCTAGGGCAATGCGCGTCGGGAGGGAGCAGGGATGGTTGTGTGGCTTGTGAAGTGGCTTGTGATGGCGCTCCTGCGAATTGTCAAAATTGTAAAACCCAACACTCCGAAAGAGGGAGAAAATACACGTGACTCAACTGGCATTTGCTCGCCCACGACCCATTCTACTGCCCCAAAACTCGTAATGATTGGCTAAGCTCTCGTTAAAACACTCTAGCCACGGTAGGTGTGGCTCAGTCTTGCCTTTGCCATTTGCGCCTGCCCTACGACGCACAATCTGGATTATCTCGATTTTTTTCCCGTCCTCCCCAAGAGTTCAATTCTTCTTTCGATCACCAACTTTCCTACCAGACCCCAGATCCGAGAGCAGTCACAATGCGTAGGTCACCCCTCGGCCGCTGGCCAGCCCGTCAACATGTTGCCGAGATACTAACATTAAACGCCGTCTGCAGCTCCTAAATTCGATCCCAACGAGGTTAAGGTCATGTTCGTCGAGCCCGCATTCTTCCGTCGAGTCGAAGAAACAAGTCGCTAACCTAGAGTGCGAACGCAGCCACCTCCTCGCCACTGGAGGTGAGGTCGGTGCCTCCTCCGCCCTGGCCCCCAAGATCGGTCCTCTCGGTCTGTCTCCCAAGAAAGTTGGTGAAGATATCGCCAAGGCCACCGGCGACTGGGTATGATGCGAACCTCTCGGTGTGAACAATATCTGGACGAGAACACCACTGACGGCGATTGAACTACAGAAGGGTCTCCGCGTGACGGTCAAGCTCACCATTCAGAACCGTCAAGCCGCCGTCTCCGTCGTTCCTACCGCCTCCTCCCTCATCATCCGCGCACTCAAGGAACCCCCCGCGACCGCAAGAAGGAGAAGAACATCAAGCACAACAAGTCTGTTCCTCTTGACGAGATCATCGAGATCGCGAGAACCATGCGCCACAAGTCCTTCTCCAAGTCGCTGGAGGGTACTGTCAAGGAAATTTTGGGTACGGCAAACAGTGTTGGATGCCAGGTTGACGGCAAGACCCCCAAGGCGATCACCGAGGCCATTGAGGCTGGTGAGATTGACAGTAAGTGCCCGATTATCCCTGGCAGTGGTCATCCGAAGACACTGCGGCCTTCCTCGAGCGATAGCCGGCTGACATGCGCACCACAGTTCCCGAGGAGTAAAGGAGGTCAATAGCCGGACGGACACTCTCGCATGACTTCTGGAGTTTAGGACTGGTTCTGCATTAAGGGGACTACCCAAAAGGGATAACCTTGGGCGAAGAAAAAAGACTTGCCGAATGACCAAATCAAATGACCAACAGATGCTTGCCGCCTGCCCACTTGGCGACCTCTTCAACAACTGTCGTGATGTCTTTGTATGCGTATCCCTCAATTACACTCCGAGAGATGCTATCGCTCTCTCGTGGCGTCTCCCCATTAGATTGACCGTGATAATGTATAGAGCCCAATACTTGCTGCGGCGTCTCACGAAATTCGAAGGCCCCTCTGCTCCACGTGGGTGACGAGCAATAGGAGTGGGCGAGAGAGTCGACCATCTCGGTACATTGGAAGACGCCACACAGTATCGAATCCCGCCGCCTTCGGGGTTTAGTGACGGCTTCTACATCATCCTCGCTATCGTGTCATACTTGTTCGTGGCACTAGTCCTCCATGATTGATAGTGTGAATGACGTCCGTACACGACGTCCCCCAGACCGGAGAATACTAAACTGTTTTATTGTAGCGGTATTTGAGCATGGTTGGCTCAAATGGTGCATTTGACCACTAGAAAACGATGGTCGCGACCCACGAGTTAAATCGATGGATGTGCGTTCAGGCGACTTCCATATAACATGTACTTGTGAGGTTTGCCTGCCTTGTCATGTATTCAGTGGTGGAAGCAGTGCGAGAGATCACAATCAGCCGTTGAGCTAGAATAGTCAACACTGGGAAGTGGTGGTCTGTGTGGACAATGATAGGACAAGCAACTGGCAGGTTGGCGTTGTCTTGAAGTAGTCGAGTTAGCGTAGCGAAACCAATGTGTTTGACACTAATGCATGGAAATAGGTTTGTCACCTCAACAGTCGGCTATCAGTGCGTTGACAATGTGTCGTGTGCATGCACTTCCTGACTTGGCTTCTTTATTTTTAACCGGTTCCGGCACTGGGCAAGTGTATCATTTCTTGGTCGCCTGGTTGCCTAGTTGATAGGTGACATGCAGACATCCTGGCAGTCAAATGGCGTATTGCCAGCACCAGTTAACCAGTATGGGTCGGGGGATGAATACGGAGAAGCGATATCCTATCTCTGCAGTGCACAGACGAGCCAGGGCATGCAGCACGTCCGGCAGGTAGATACTAAGTTGAACGAAGGCAAAGCAGCTTGCTGGAAGGAGATGGCAGCATGGCAGTGAACAAAGGGTTCCAGTGGTGCCGAAATGATCAAAATCGGTGGGAAACAGGAAGCAAGGCACCTGCTGTACCCCTCGTCGTGGACGACCACCATTCCGCCCAAATTGGGAAGCCCACCTCAGTGCATCTACGCCGTGGGTACATCCGTCACATTCGGCCCTGCTTCGACTCCAAGGAGGGCACAGGCATTCCTCCGTGCGGGTAGTAAAGGAAGGAGGAGACAGGCCCAAGTTACTGCAGTAATGCCTACCGTTCTTGAATTTGCCTCGCTCATATGAACCTTGCATTGTTCTTCACGCCCTAAGTATGCTATCACTCAAGCCAGACGATAGGACCATCCTCGTCTCCATTTTCTATCTTGGTGTCCCCCCGTTCCTCTACCTACCTACATCGTAGGTCAAACAAGGTTGGTGGCTCACATCGTTCACACTGACTAGTCGACTCGACTTGCGACTGACGCTAATCCAAGGCACCCCACGGTCCACGGATGCCGCAAACGCAGGCTCGTGTGCTGACCTAGGTGTCCTTACGCCTTACAGGCACACAATCAGGGACAGACAACCCTGACAAATCTGGGACTTTGGGGTACGTACTGCGGGACGTACATCTGCGTCACCTCAGGCTGGAGACCGAACGCAGGCGGGCTGGTGCAGCAGGCGGGCAGGCAGACAGAGAGGGAGCCTTGGGCGGGTTCTCGAGCGCAGATCGAGACGAATCGAACAAATCAACCAGCAACTTGTTGGGTATTTTCTGAATCTGGTCTGGCAAAAGAGTAACCACTCTCTTCATTTCAGCCCACACAAAGAGTCTGTGCTACCAGAAACTATACTACCTCAGGCCATAGCAAACCGGGCTTGATCGCTTCTTTTCTTGCCTGAAGGGACAGCCACACCCACGCCCACGCCCATGCCCACGCCCACGCCCACGCCCACGCCCACGCCCACGCCTACAGCTACCGCCATCGCTACCGTTCCCGCCATCTCCTACAATTGCCGCTACAGTACCTTGACAGTGACACTAGTCGCATCGTTCCTCGTCCCGCGCTTCACCTTTCTTTTGCACACATCCATCCGTTGACAGCACCTCGAGCTACTCTCGTAACCTCCCGTCGCCGCCGACGCCGCTGCCGCCGTTGACCCTCGTTCTACCGACCCGTCCCCCTCTCCGCTCGTCTCCCTGCCCTCTCTCATTCCGACCGAAGACGTCCCCGGCGCAATTTTACCGGATCGACGACGACCCTCCATTCCATTTTTGCCCAGTTCTCTACCTCGGCGTTCCTCGATTCGAAGTCAAGGGGAGGTGTACTTCAGGCATAACAAGGCCATAGTGGCCGGCACTGGCGTCGGGCATTGGCATCGATTGCCCTTACCACAAGGCAGCCCAGATGCCATGCCCGTCAGCGGGCCAGTCAGCCATGCTTTAGCCAGCAGGCGATGACAACTGGTTCTCGGATCACTGTATCCAGTCTATCCTTCACTTTGCTCCTACTTCGTGGACTCTGCGAATTCATCCGTCTAATCGCCCCATGACATCTCGGAGCGCCTTCTCTTTCTCTTTACAGCATAACTCATGTTGCCTCTAGTACAGATGCACCATATGGTGCAAGGACCGCCAAATTTTGACCCTCTCCCGCCCTTTCAGCAGCAGCAGCAGCAGCAGCAGCAACATCAGCAATATCAGCAACATCAGCAGCAGCAAAAGAATCACTTGCAGCATCAACAGAACCAGTATCACCTTCATCAAATTAACGCCTATTCTTATGACCAGCATCTGCGCTGCTTGCCCACGGATCTCACGAACCCCCCGTTCCCTGAAGGCACGACTCCAAGATCCATCCCGATCCGTACTTCACACCCGAGTCAAACTCTCCAGCGCCGAGCTGTTACCGTTGCCGGCCAGTCTCATTTTCCTGATGGACCCGAGCATCAGTTACGACGCAAAACACCGAACGGTACTATCGACGCGGGCTACGATGGCTCTCCCACCCACTTCGCCTCGGGGCCACCGCCTCTAAAACAAATGATCCTATCTGCCGCACCGACAGCCTATAGCGCGAATCGCCTTTATCCCACCACAGAGCCGAATCGTCATCCTAGGATGACGCAGGCAACTCAGGTCCGCGATTCTAAGAATGTCATACGCGATCGAATGGGCGAAGGGTTCAGCTTGACGCCTCCAAGCCAACAACAGTGGCCACTTGAGCAGGATATGTCACACCAGTCATTGCCTGCCGGCAATCTTTCGGGACCTCACGTTCCCCCGGACTCTTCTTTATATGGATTCAGTGCGCCAGAGGTGTCTGCGTTCTTCGGGTCTGCTTCTCACCTCCGCCCAAGGTCTGGGATGTTTGCTGCCGAGTCATACTTCCCTGGGGTTCTTCCTGCGGATGATGCCGGTGCCATCGCCCCAGGACTTCTGCAATCAGCAAACCCTTGGCTTCCGGCGTACCAACAGGGCCAGAGCTTTGTTGGTCCGCCGATGTATCATACACCGTCACCATCGCCGTCAATGTATGACTATCGCTTTTCTAACATGCAGAACCAGATGCTCGGACCATCGGCTCACTTCACACCGCCGGATCCCTACACCCAACTTTCGACGTTCGGTTCGGGGATTCTGCAGCCGACTCAATTTGATATGGAGGCTCTCGCTCTAGAATCGCATCAAGCCATCAGCGCCGGTGGTACAATATACCAGCAAAACCCACCGGGGGGTTTAGAGAGAAGGTACTTGCTCAAGCACACCGGAGTTATGTCGACTTGCTGGCGTATCTTCATCATGGGCGCAAAACTCAGCAGCTTAGGCCTGGTTCGGCCTTGAGCACTACGTCAAGAATGGTGGTGTATCCCAAGCCACCAAAACAGCCAGTCGTCACTTTGGCTCCAAACCTTTTCTTTCCTGGAGACGCTGGCATGATAACCAACGCCAATCTGAGAAGCAATCATGGCAACATGTTTGGGCCTCCAGGGAGCAAGCCCCCACTCTCGGCCCAGTCATTTGGTTGGAACGGCGGAGTGGCGGAGTTCAGGAATGGCGCCTTCCCTGTTGTGGGCTCAACTGGCTCCTTATTCACAAGTCAGCTTTCAAGAGGCTCGCCTCTTGGAAATGCCAAGAGCTCTCTAGAAATCCTAAGTCATCTATGTGAACAAAGTGGCTGGAAGTGGATTGACGGCGTGTTGCTTGGAGGTTGTTTGCACTATGGCTTGGAGCACTTTGAGGAGGCTCTGGAATGGTTTAGCCGGATCACTTCATTAGAGCCAAGGTATGTGAACCCCAACCCCGGTCACTACGCTTGAGTTTGAAGCGGTACCTCTTGGGAACATCAGTTATTGACTTGATACATAGCAACGTGGAAGCTGTTTCTAACATGGCAGCTACTCTTTATTGTCTCAACAGACAAGATGAAGCCGAAAAATGCTGGGTCAGGGCAATCAAGACTCGCCCGCAATACCTCGAGGCTGTAGAACATTTGGTTGGTCTTCTTTACAAGAAAAAGAGCCTCGACGCCGTCGACATCATTAGCTTCGTACAAAAGGCTTTGAGACTGCCAATGGATTCGATGGATCACACTGGGTACAGCTCTTCCGATACTCAACCAGAGACGTCAACTAACTTGGCATCGAGTCTGCTGAAAGAAAACCGGTCTCAGCCTGGATTCGGCTCGAGTGGTTATGCCATCCCGGGGACCGAGAATGGTCGCATTCTCGCCCTTGTTCATGCCAAAGGAACAATGCTATACAGCCTAAAAGATATTGCCGGAGCGTCTGACGCCTTTGAAGAAGCGGTCTTAATAAGCTCGGGTAGACGAACAACGTCTGTCCAGACACTTGTCCGACAAATTCAACAGGTCCTCGCGCCAAATAGTGGCATTCAAGGTGTCGCCGACACAGTAGCTCCGGTCCGACCTTTATTGTTGCCACCTGAAAAGGCGAGGTGTACTGCGAAACTGGTCTTCTCCAACAACGGCGACCTCCCAGGCCTGCGGTTCGTGCCTGAGGGTGGACCCAAAAGAGCGGCCGTCCAAACCACGAGCAATTCGTTGCTGTCTCTTGCCAAAATATTCCAGGATGCCATGTCGTCGGGATCCCCAGCCGCGGGCCTCGCTAGGAAGTCGACCGGAGTTGGCGATATCCTGTCTCTGTATTATCTATCGCTATCCTTGCAGGAGAGTCCCTCTACAGCCAACAATGTGGGCATCCTGCTCGCCAGTGTCCAGCAAACCGCAGCAGCCTGTTCACCTGGGACGTTGTCGTCCCTGCCCAGCATTCCCGGTATCCCGCCTGGTAGTGGACTTGCACTGGCCCTCGCATACTACAACTATGGTCTCACACTAGATCCCAAACATGTTCATCTGCACACGAATCTCGGCAGTCTTCTCAAAGACATTGGACAACTTGATCTTGCTATTCAGATGTACGAACAGGCTGTCCAGTGCGATGGCAACTTCGACATCGCTCTGACAAACCTTGCCAATGCTGTGAAAGATCGTGGACGCATCAGCGATGCCATTGCATACTACAAACGAGCTGTGCGCTCTAATCCCGATTTCGCCGAGGCAGTTTGTGGGCTTTCCACGGCCTTGAATTCGGTATGCGATTGGAGGGGCCGTGGTGGCGCACTGTTGCATGGTGGGGTGTACGATCGCTGGCATGTCGATGATGATGGCATGATCTTTGATGCCACGAAGCAAGACCAAGGCTCCGGGCTTACGAAGAAGGTTGTCGACATTGTATCTCGCCAGCTTGCTGATGCTTCAACTTGGGGATTAGGCGTCTTGCAAGAGAACGACATTGCGGACTTGGCTCCGCAGCTTTTCAGAGCCGCAGGCCAATCGCCGGACACAGGCGCAGACTTCGACTTCAAGTTACGAAGCTGGTCTAAAAGCCCCTGGGAAGGCTCGCGACTGTTAAGGCTTGTGGAGCGGGCTACACGGGCATTAATGCGGCAGTGGTACTGTGACAAGTACGTCCGTGGACTGAAGACGACATGCGAGTACAAACGGCCTCAGCTGCCATCCAACCTCACGGTGCCATCTGCCCCAACGGTTTTGCCTTTTCACACTTTCACGTGTCCTCTGACGGCCAAGGACATCCGCATGATATCGCAGCGCAACGCTTTTAGGATCTCTTGCTCAACCCTCCGCTCCCCATGGCTTCCCAGCACAGTCTATCCACCGCCGCCGCCGCCGTCTCCCCAATTAAACGTTGGCTATGTTTCTTCGGATTTCAATAACCACCCCTTGGCTCATCTGTAAGATACAGTTCCTCTTCTCAAATAATGTTGTCCGTGCGAACCCTCCCGCTAATGGCACGTAGAATGCAATCTGTTTTTGGATTCCATGACAGAGCTCGAGTCAAAGCGTTCTGTTATGCTACAACGGCGAGCGACAAGTCAACCCATCGCCTGCAAATAGAACGGGAAGCACCAGTGTTCCGAGATGCAAGCACTTGGACTTCAGACAAGCTGGTCGAACAAATTGTGCAAGACAACATCCACATTCTTGTCAATCTCAACGGCTACACTAGAGGCGCTCGAAACGAAATCTTTGCTGCAAGACCGGCCCCGATCCAAATGTCTTTTATGGGCTTTGCCGGTACTCTAGGTGCCGAATGGTGTGACTATTTGCTTGCAGACACCACTGCCATCCCACCCGAAACCTTACGACCTTGGCGTGGCAACCTCACCGTCGGCGACGTCTTTGAGGACAAGACCGAAGAAGGCGATGGGGACTGGATGTATTCGGAGAACGTCATATACTGTAAAGACACGTTCTTCTGCTGCGACCACGCACAGTCTAGCGACCCCGACGAACACAAGGTTTCGTGGGAAGAGGAGCAGCGGCGGCGCTGGAGGATGCGCAAAGAACTCTTTCCCGATTTGCCTGATGATACCATCATTATGGGAAATTTTAATCAGCTATACAAGGTTTGTCTCTTCTTCTCTCTCTTCCCTTCCCCGTAAGAGACATACATGGCTAATGCAACACTAAGATTGATCCCACAACATTCCGTACGTGGTTGCGCATCCTCTCAAAAGTGGACAATGCTATCCTATGGCTTTTGCGATTTCCTGAACTTGGAGAGACGAATCTCAGGAGAACAGCAGAAGCCTGGGCGGGAGAAGAAGTGGCCAAACGAGTTCTCTTCACCGACGTGGCACCCAAGAATCAGCATATATCGCGAGCCCGTGTCTGCGACTTGTTTCTCGACACTCCCGAGTGTAACGCGCACACTACGGCCGCAGATGTTCTGTGGTCCAGCACACCACTTCTGACATTACCGCGATATCCATACAAGATGTGCTCGCGCATGGCAGCATCAATATTGAAGGGCGCATTGCCCAACAGCCCTGAGGGAACCCAGGCGGCGGAAGACCTCATTGCTAGTAGTGAAGAAGAGTACGAAGAGTTCGCCGTCCGACTGGCCAAGGGTCTTTCGTATCGTTTGAGCCACAGCGGCTATGGCGAGGGCCAGGGTCGTCTGGCAGTTTTGCGCAAATTGCTTTGGGATAACAAGTGGACCTGCGCCCTCTTCAACACCAGACGGTGGGTGGCCGACCTGGAGAGTGCTTATGATGAGGCATGGCGACGTTGGGTGGCAGGTGAAACCGGAGACATTTACCTGTAAAAGCTTCAAAGTTTTATCATGACCACCGGACGTGGCGATGTTGGGGCGAAGAGCTCGCGCGCCCAGTGCTTCTTCTATTTGTTACAGGGGTACGGACCCGGCTGGCGAGGGTCGCCATGTAAAACTTTCAGTCATTTTGTCTGCGGCTCCGGCTCTGGCTCATTGGGTTTAGACTAACCTAAGAGTCATATGCGGCAGCAAGCGGGGTTATCTCGCCACAGTAGACTCGAATACTGGTCAGTCTCTGGGCATTGGCGGCAGGAGTCAAGGTTAAACATGTCAGTGTTTTGGCGTAGACGCCTCCTCAAGGAGGGCTATATTTGTTTGATGGATCCAGCTTCTCACTCTTTGTTCAGAGAAAACCAAGGGGTAGTTCCCATTCGTTCCAGGTGGGGATTTGGCGTTTGAAGGGAAGCCCGTCTTTAGAGCGGGCTATGATGTACCTAAATAATACCCGGTGCCTCTTTCCTCGCTGATGCGAGATGTGAGGGCCTTGCGATCCATTTGTTTGATTTAATTTTGCTTACTTTGCTTTGTTTCGGTCGCCAGGACCACCATACTGTTACCAAGGTGGACGGACAGGTTCGCCGCTATACTTTGGTAATGTCGGCATCCATTGTCCATCTCACCATTACAGAAGATTCGACGTGGCCTGTTCGTAACACCATGGACGGTATCCAACAAGACAACTAGCTCATGCATGGGCACGTAGCAGAGAACAGGCCATCGAAAATGGCTGTTGTTGCTCGTGCCAACCTCCTACTGGATGGAACGACAAAGATAGTATAGTACAACAGGCTATCAGAGCTGGTGCCATGCACAAGGGCTAATCATGGACTTTTTGTGACGGCCACAGACAGATGGCAGTGGCAGCCAGGTACTGGAAGAAAAACCATCCACCACTGTCGACATGTATGGATCATGGACAGTCAAGTCAAAACTCAATGATTTCGTAAGTCAGCCAATGACAAACGCGGGACGACCTTGTTTCTACCTCACCTTCGATCCTCATAGCCCGTTCCCGTTTTCCCTCCTTACCCCATTTCCCCCCTACTCCGCCTACCAGAGAGTGTCCCTCCACGTCCTTAACACCTATCGACTGTGCCAGCGAGGATTGAGACTCGTTGACTCGCTCCTGTCTAGGGAATGAAAGTAGAAAAGGGAAAAAAGAAGAAGACAGAAAAGGGGGGAGGGTGTCCCCTAGCGTAGATCAATAGTGATAACGCTCGGTCCTCATGGATGACTATATCCCGAGACCACGGCGCTCCGCTATCGAAACATGGCCATCGAAGCCGGGGAAAGGGGGCGCTCCCTAAGAGGTGCCACAAACGTGGACTTGGGACAGCGGCAAGGGGGTCGCCCTGCAGTAAGTGAGTTGGCGAGAAAGAAGAAAAGAGGGAGAGAGAGAGCGTGTGAGGGTCTCATGTTTGACCGGGCCCATATACAAAACAGCGGAATGATTGAATCTATCGAAGCGTGAATGTAACCCCCAGCGGAGGGATGAACATGACTCCAGACGCGTTCGTTAACGGGGATCAGTGTGTAGAGCCATGTGTGTGGGGGGGAGGGGGGGGGATAATATCGGCTGCCCATGCTGATCCATTTCGAGATCAACGGGATGCCATGAGCTGCTTATAACATAGACAAAACAGTCTTAGGGACGAGATTGTGAGCAACAACGGTGTACAGCATGGCAAATCCAACGTCCCTGCCACCAGCGTCTGAAGCGGGTGGGACGGTGGCTCCTGGAGCTAACGAAGCAACCTACGGTTGTCCAGTGGGAAGCGATGCCGTTGGGCACTTGAATGATGGTGGCGTGTTAGCGAGTAAGCAGAACGTGTGCGAGACACGAACCATGAGTCTAGTTGTTTTTGTTTTTGTGAATGTACCTGGGTCGCGGTATGGCTAGTTTTCGCTTTCTCGCTTCGCGCCATGGCGACTTGCGGCCGTTACAGCGCCAAGAGCTATGTTCCTATTTTACAGTAACGGAGGCTTGGGGGCACACATCCATCCAACATCATGACAGGGCCCCTCATCTTCTTGTGGCGCTGAAAATTAGAGACACAACAATCGCTGGATAACACTTCTTTGGAGGAAGAGGAGGGGTGTGGCATGGAGAAGGAGCGCCACAAGCGAGGACCCCAAGCCCACGATTGGGAAAACGTTGAACTTGTTGTGTCAATGTTTCAAGAATGCGGGAAATGAGATGATCTCTAGTCCAGTCTCACCACCACAAGAGGTGTGACGACTCGGTACCTTCAAGCCTTGGCCTGTGGCCACCTCGAGAAAGGGGCGTGAGACCGATGGCCCCAAAAAACAAACACAGCAGCACGCTTGCCGCACGTCGCTCGTCGTCCAACAGCATTCGTTGTGTGTGCGTGTAATGTTTCTGGCCGAGGAGTGACGGCTGACCCGCCGGCCGGCCGTTCAGGCGGTCCAGGACTCAGGACTCGAGTTGCCTGGAATCGCCGTTATTGGGGCTCGCGTCTTCCCGACAACATTGTGGCTGGCTGGCTAGTCGTCCTAAGACGCAACGGACCGTTGGCAAGGGGCCGTTGTGCTGGCACCACCGCCTATTCGGACGATGGGACAAGTACCTGGAGCGCTAATCTCACTTTCCTCAGACATTTCGGTACTAGTTCATCAGTGTCTGGTGCTCCGGGTAACTTGACAGGGGCTGACCGCTGGCATGCTCTTGTTCACACGATGTAGATGATGGGGGTTGGGAGTTGATTGAATAGCCACAGTCTCTCCCGTAAAACCTAATGCAAGTGATCGAGGTGGCCAAGAAAGCAATCAAATTCACCAGAGAAACAAGTCGTGAGAGGGGGGGGAGGACTAGGGCGGCCACCGGCGAGACGGATGATCGGCGAAGAGGGAATCTCTTGCCACGTGAGCGATAAGATGCCAGCCCACCAGCACTTGATGACATTACGTTAGGTGAGGGTCCAATGAAGCCCACTTAGCTTCTATGCCTGGCGTCTCGTGTCTGTAATCAGCATTCATAACTCATGCCTACAACTACCCGCATCTTGTGGATGGCTGAACAGGATGAGCCATTGCATTGGCGGCGGCAGCGGGTCGGAAGGAGATGACTATGAGGTACTGTTCATACGGGGCGGATGTCATGTACGGGAACGGGGGTTTTACCATTGATATTTTTCCTCATTATGGACGCATATACATGATGTGTAGTCAAGCGAAGAGGGATTATTTGTTAGAAAAAGAACATCCTGTAAGCCGAACATGGGCAACCGGTTGAAGAAGAAGCAGGTTTGGGCATATGAATGGATGAAAGGGAATATGAATAGTAAGGGGAGGGGTGCGTCTTCGCCTCTCTCCTTAGACCTGCAGCCTGTAGGACGGCGGAAACGGAACAGTATCGTCACAGAGTTCAAGGGAGAGAGGGTTTCGGTGAGGACATAAACAAACACGACAAGGACAGGGGACAAGCAAAAGTGAAGAAATGGTGAGCTGGAGAGGGATGAGGGATATTGCGACACTTGGAGCAATAAAATTCAGGAACCATGGTACTTGCCTACACCACTCTGTAGGTAGGCCGCCGGATGGTCCTGGGGGTGCTCAACCTGGGCCAGCTGGAAGTACAGTAGGTGGGTCCAGACGTAGGCGCAGGTGCAGCTGCGGGTGAGGAGTCGGGGAGGCGGGACGGGAGTTTGTGAATTAGTGGAACGTCCTGTCTTGTTTCATGGACCCGAAGGGTTGGTAGCTCTCCTTCTGCTGGAGTTTCTCCCGACGCCCTGGACGGAGATCATTGGTAAAAAGGGAGGGGAATGCTTGCTGGATGCTGCCTTGGTGGAGCGTTAGCTGAGGAAAGAAACGAGTAGGTATTGAAAAGGGGGAGAGGGGAAAACGAGATTAAAAAAAAAATAGAACCGCCGGGAAATCGTCAAGTCTCCAGAAAGACTCGCTTGCCATAGCTGTTCGTGGCCTAGCCTCTCAAACAAGGGGGCGCCGGTAGAGGGGCCCGGCATGGGTAGGCTTTGGCTCCGTGTCACCCAAATGAAAATAACGCCGTAACAAAAACTTACAAACTCCACGTTACCGCCATCGTCGACATGGGTGAGAGGCGGTCCAAGTTGACAGCCGGAGCTGAACACGTTGAGCGGGGTTTGCTTGTGGGAACCCACGCATACCCAACGTGGGCCAAAGTATGCGTGTGCCGTATACATCTCCGGCTTCATTGTTTTTCTTCCTTACATGCCGCCATCCCGTGCTAGCTGGATCAGAGTCTGCCAATATAGTGCGTGGCTGCAAGTACATGTCGAAAGCGAGTTGAGAGGGCAGTCCCTCAACTATATCAGAGCCTAAGACAGGAACGGGAAACGTCAGCAAATGTAAGGCATGTGAACAGGGTTGAGGAGAGAACGGGGACGGGAGGGAGCAGATGTCATGACACTGGTGTCTGCTACTCTGTAGGTAGTGTCGGACGTCCATCCATATTGTACTGCCGTCACCATCAGCTTATCCAACGTCCATAACCACCCGGCTGGGTGGGATGCCAACGGCTTTCGGGAAGTGACTTTGACGCGGCGTGCCCATTAGTCTGGCGGCTGTCACCGTCCTGAGGATTTGATTACTGGTGTACCAAGCCCTCGGGCGCAGCTAAAGCAGAGGCAAGTAAGCCACATCAGCACGCATGCACACCAAACCTCAAAAGAAAACTTGTTGGCTCCGACCCAGCAAAACACCGCCGGCTATGGAGGCGGAGAAGATGCCATTTGGGGCATGGCGGTTCCGGGAGGCGCAACCAGTATCGACGGACATCGGTTCGTGATTTCGGTGCAACCAGCCAGTCGGCAATTGACCCAGTGTTGTTCGTCTGGCCGCCTGTCCAGGTCCCCTCTGTGACCGGCTACTCCATCGTCTTGCAGACAGCACGGGCATATCAGTAGAGTGTGCTGTCTTGCTGTGGCGCCTCGAGTTCCGGTCTTTCAGCGCCTCGTTCTAGGTCCCCAGCATACAACAGCTAGAGGCGAAAA